ATCAGCGGCAGCTGGATGCAATAATCGCATGCCAATGTGCATTGGCTCGTTTAGTTTACACTCGAAGTAGATTGGTCTCTCTAAGCGAGATCCAAATTCGTCGGTCATCCGACGTGATGTCTCCGTTCCCTCCTTCAGGGAACGAGGGTTACCATACGTAACCGAGACGTTACCTGGCATAGTCATGAGTACTTTTGCATTTTTCTGTAAAGGTGCTGTCACATTTACCAAAATTTAGCATGTAAAATGTAGTCATTCCAATAGGACTCTGCTAAATCTTGTGAGAGTGAAAAAATTCCCCATGCAGATTTCATTTATTTCAAGTCGGTCACTTCATTATAGCAGAATGTCAAATTAACATCCAGACAACCACCTACAGTTATTTCAGCAAAATAAGTGAAATGTCGACTACAGCAATGAAGCAGGATAATGGACAGACTTTTTGGAAGGACTGTTCAGTTTCAATGAAGCTAAATGTTTCTCATGTGATGATAAATCAAGTGTACGAGCATTTTGAAAGTGCACTTACCGTAGTTAGTGCTGGGGGCGGTGTATTTGGTGCTGGACTTGCGGATAATGTTCTCATGAATCTGGTACCACTCGTTTTCATTATTACACCTGTGAAAGAGACAAGAAAGAGGACAATCTTTATAGCAAGATTATAGCAGGGAAAATATGTTGTTGTATGGATGAAGCAGGTGGAATCGCTGCATCAGCATTCAAGTGATTCCCAGAAGCTTGGGGTCACAAATGTAATTTGTCAGTATATATGTAACTCAGTTTCAACAGTAAAAGGTCTTGTCCTAAAGGGGCATCGCAGTATGCTTACGAATGTGCCAGGACTTTAAGTAAAAACTGGGCTTTCATCCAGTCAAAGAGAATTATTCATTTGCCACAATACCCAGTGATACTCTAGAGTAGCACGACTGCATAATGACGATCCCTTCTCAAAATATTGGAAAAGAGTGAGTGTTGAATGAGTGTTTAAAAAGCGTTAAAGTCAACATAAAACTCAGTTTGCGCTTTACTTGTATAATGACATATTTCCAAGTAAAACAGGATATTCCACGAGAACATCGTTTCATCTGTCTTTTGGATTTGTGAAAAGTTCCCGTTACACACCAGAATGGCGTAATATGACCAGGAATGGGACAGTCATGAAAACGACTTCAAATAATCAAGAAAAATACAATATTTTATAATTAGTAATTCACTAGATATTTCAGAAGTTGTTCTTTATTGTTTTGTACATTTAAAATGTACATATAGAAACACAATCTTGCCCCCTTTATCTGTCATATTCTTTTATATATATTCATTGATTTATTGATTTACTTACTTGTTATTTTGTATCTCCATTACAGTATATAAAAATATTATAACAAATAAGTAATTATTAACATAATTGCTCCATGCTTTTTTGTCATCGGTGGTGTTAAAAACATTGTTAAAATAGAATGAATTAATGAATAAATAAATTAATTAATACAGGTTTAATCTGATCATTGGTATATATAGGTATATCTTTTTTGATATTGCGTGTTTATATTTCATTATTTAGATTTTTAATGTATATTGAATATTTATTTTATATTGTTTATAACTTGTAATTGCGACTCAAATTCTAGTTAACATCTCACAATTCAGACATTTTTCTTGCAATTCTGAGTTTGTATCTCAAAATTCAGACTGTTTTTCGCAATTCTGAGTTTATATCTCATTATATAAAACAAACACACAAACAAACAAATAAATATGTTTAATCTGAACATTGCTATATATTGGTATGAATTTGACACCAAATTATTTTTATATGAAATGTATCACTAGTGATAAAACCCTTTCCTACTTCACAAAACAAAACAAACAAACAAATAAATAATAAATAAATGTGTTTAATCTGAACATTGCTATATATTGGTATATCATTATTGGTATGAATTTGACACCAAATTATATTTACATTTATCACTAGTGTTATAACCCTTTCCTACTTCACAAAACAAAACAAACAAACAAAGCACAAAGCAAAGCAAAACAAAAACACAAAGCACACAAAAACAAAACAAAACAAAACAATCAAAACCAAATAAAAACACAAAACAAAACAAAGCACAAAGCAAAGCAAAACAAAAACACTAAGCAAACAAAACCAAAACAAAACAATCAAAACAAAATAAAAACACAAAACAAAATAAAACAAAATCCTTTAGTCATCCATACAACTGTCTTTTCTGATTAGTAATAATGTCAAAATGTTGAGACATATGAACCATCAGCTTTATTGAAATTAAATTGAACTGAATAAAAAAAAAAATAGTGTAAAACAAACAAAACATTTTGTAAGTAAGAAAAATCTAAAATGTTTGAGAATGGTACTATAGAGTATTATGTTGTATCATTTTTGTCCGTTTCTAAAAAAAAAGTGGTATATCTTTGAGGTTGAGTGTAGAATAACCTATAATCAAGACAATTAACCCCAACCAGCACAGCTGCATTAGCATTTGCATACGGCGTTTGTCAATTGGCACTCTGAACGATATAATGGTGAGTGAAAAAAACACGCAGTCAAGTACAGCCAAGTGTTGAGAGCCATCACAATGAAGCAAATCACGACACTCTACTGCTTAAAAGCCCAGGAGTGCGGTGCTCTCAGGAGAGAGAACAGAGCCTTATGCTACATTCCAGCATCAGTAGCTGCTAAAACGCTGTGGGCTTGCTGTCGGAGGTTCGAGAACAGCAGCTTTCTGGCCTGAGGGGAAGTGATGTCATTAATGCCTGACCCAGAAGTGACTAAACCCGTCGTGGCAGCTGAAAAGGGACCTCCGCGCTATGCTAATGCTAGTGTTTGTGGTGGCTTAGCGGGCAGATGCTTTGTGGGAACTCCCACAGAGTCCATCTGGTTGGCAGTCATGGTGACTGGCTCCAAGGGCGTCAAGGGCGGTTCTGGTGTGTCGCTCGCAGGGTCACAACGGCATTACACCAACACAGGCTGTTTGATGGAAAGTGCTACATTCCAGAACACAAAGGAATATCTGCTGCAAATCCGATCAGATCAACTGTCAGTCTGGTTTGTCCTTTGTCGTGGCATTATGTTCCCAACAGTTCCCAACTAGATGTCCCTAGAAACTAAACACACACTTCCATGCATAGAACCTTGCAAACATGCATGCAAATACATGTATTGCATAAACATGCATATATATGTACACATCAGCATTTAATTTCCTGTCTTCCTCAATGCTACAACCGCAGAGATACTGATCTGCTCAATTAAGCCCAAAGTACAGGAAAGCCTTCAGGGCTCAACAAAAAGACTGACCCGGGGCGAGTGTGAGAGAGTTTCATGTCACTCACTTATGTGTTTTTATGTCTTACATTTGGTTTTCTGTAATACTGTACAGAATATTGGTGCAAATTGTGCTGAGTGAAACATTTCACTAAGGCTGCTGTCAAAATACATATGGTTGAAAAAATTGAAAAACAATTGTATCTTAAATATATATTAAATACATGTGTATGTATACATGTAATGAACATGAATATAGTTTGGAGTTGTATAATATAAACTGTGTATTTTAATTATGTAAATTATTTCATTTAATTGTTATTTATTAAATATGCAATTATTTAAATAAATAAATAAATAAATAATTTTCTACAGGCTACAGACTAAAAATACATATGGATTCAAAATATGATAAAATATGGGTTAAATATATAATAATACAATAGGAGTTATATAATATAAATTTAATATTTATTTTTTAATATTTATTAATTATTATTATAAATTCATTTAATTATTTACTTTGTTTTTAGTACAATAAATAGTAAATAATATTATTTATAAATTTAGCTTATTAATATAACTATTTTAAATATATAATAATATCATAAACTGTATATCTGAATTGTTTTGATATGTTAAGTGTTATTAAATTAAATAGGCAATTCTTTAATTGTAATAAATAAACAAATAAATGTGTACTTAAACCAATATTATTAGTAATAAGAACTATTATTCATAATTCAGTAAAAATAAATACATTTTATACAATGAATAATACTAATACTACTACTACTACTACTACTACTAATAATAATAATAATAAATAGCATATTAGAATGATATCTGAAGGACACTAAAGACTGGAGTAATGGTGCTGAAAATTCTGCTTTGCTTAAAAAAATGCATTTTAAAATATATTACAAAAACAGTTATTTTTAATTGAAATAATATTTCACAATATTACTGTTTTTACTGTATTTCTGGTCAAATTTTTTTTTTAATGTTTCTCTTCTCACTCCAATGCTCCCTCATGCACAATCTACAATTAATACGTTTCATTTACATTCAGAGGTTCTGCAGCAGTGAAAAGCTTAGTGAAAAGCACAGATTCTTCACTTCAACGTTACTGCATTTCCCCTAGTTTCACAGACACTGATGGCTTAATATGACATGACTGCTTGTCATTTTGATTGCTGGGGTTTCCAAACAAATCTAGCCTCCCCCCCTTTCTCCACACACACCTCTATTTATTTCTTTTTTTCTTTCCTTGATTTGTCTTTCTTTTACCAGTTCTGTCAGTTCCCCAGCCAGTGAAACAGAGGAGGCTTTCTGCATGGCTGCACCAAGAGGTAATGAAAGTGTGTGATGGAGATAGCTAGAGGACTGGAGCACGTGTGCCGTCCACAGGGGAGGATTTCAGAGAGAGCTTCACAGCACAAATGACGAGCACTATCACAAATGTACGCTGCAGCTAATGTAGCTAATTATTAACTGTAGCTAATGTAGCCAAGAATGTAACTAATTATTAGCTCTATTCGAAAAACCTAGTATACTGCCCACATTGACAGCTGACAACATGAGTGACTGAATTTGAACGTTCACAATTAATTACAATAGTGTTAGCATTGCTATGCATGTCACATAGAGGTTAGCATGTTGTTATGCTAATAGCACAATACTCTAGTGGACATAACAATACATAGCGCATACAAATATTTAGTGAAATATAAAATATAAAAGCATACTAAGTGAAAGGGAACTTTATGAGTGACTAAACTAGAACGCTCACAAATCATTCCAATAGATTATGATGTTAGCATGTTGCTATGCTAATACCGCAACACTCCAGAAAGCATAACAATACACAGCGCATATAAACGTTGAGTGAAATATAAAACCTTACGATCCGAAATGGAACCTCATTAGTGACTGAATTAGAATGTTTGCAATTTGTAGAGTCTGATGTTAGCAAGTTGCTATGCTAATAGCACAATACTCTAGTAAGCATAATACACAGCATATTTATGTATATTTTACTGAAATATATATGTGTATATGTAACTGAAATAGAACCTTCTGAGTGACATTAGAACATTCAAAATCATTCTAAAAGGATTTATGTTAGCGTGTTGCTATGCTAAATGTGCAATAAAAAATTATAGTAAGCATAACAACACACAGCGCATATAAGCAAATATGAAACTATTTTGCACCTATACTAAATGAAATAAGTATATTTTGACATTTTTCTTTAATTGTCCACCATTTTTGATGATTTATTTTTCTCTAAATTTGTCGCAATGCATTCTGGAATTGCTTTAAATGCTAAGGATACATGCTATGCCTCCATAAGGCAGCATAATGATGCCAACTGTGACATAAGCTTGACTATGACATCATTCCAATAGATTATGATGTTAGCATGTTGCTATGCTAATACCGCAACACTCCAGAAAGCATAACAATACACAGCGCATATAAACGTTGAGTGAAATATAAAACCTTACGATCCGAAATGGAACCTCATTAGTGACTGAATTAGAATGTTTGCAATTTGTAGAGTCTGATGTTAGCAAGTTGCTATGCTAATAGCACAATACTCTAGTAAGCATAATACACAGCATATTTATGTATATTTTACTGAAATATATATGTGTATATGTAACTGAAATAGAACCTTCTGAGTGACATTAGAACATTCAAAATCATTCCAAAAGGATTTATGTTAGCGTGTTGCTATGCTAAATGTGCAATAAAAAAGTATAGTAAGCATAACAACACACAGCGCATATAAGCAAATATGAAACTATTTTGCACCTATACTAAATGAAATAAGTATATTTTGACATTTTTCTTTAATTGTCCACCATTTTTGATGATTTATTTTTCTCTAAATTTGTCGCAATGCATTCTGGAATTGCTTTAAATGCTAAGGATACATGCTATGCCTCCATAAGGCAGCATAATGATGCCAACTGTGACATAAGCTTGACTATGACGTCTGAAAATGCTGTCTAGGTAGGCAGCATACTAGGGTTTGGAACAGTGCGGCTTTGACATACAAATCTCCTTTTATCAAAATGCAATGACAAATCTGAGTTTGAGAGAACATCCTGTCAGTCATGAAGCAAATATGTTCGTCTGATCCGTACAGTGCGTAATTTACATTAATTTTACATGAATTAGTGTTTACAATGCTCAGCTTTGCAAATCTCAAATGGAGGCTACAATAACTCATAGTTCTTGCTGGAACAGAGAAGCTAATATATTCCTGAGTGGCTTTTATCCATCATCGCTCAAGTGTTTTGTCAAGACTGTAGATTTAACAAGGCAAGCGAGTGATTTTTCACTCATGGTTTAATGCAGCTCATAATAAACTTAGTTCCCAAGTCTTTCTTTTCAATTTAATTGATGAATCAAACAGAACAATGGCTCTAAAGTGCACAGAAGGGGCTTACGTGTAAACTTTGAGCACGAAGTCTTTCTCCTCTTTGAGTTCAGAGATGGTCTGAAGGACATCGCTCATGGCCAGCACTGCGCATCCGTACGGCCGGCGGTACTGGACCTGAGGGGTGCCTTTCTTCGAGTCGTTTAACAACATCCGCCCTGAACAAAAATACATTATACATCACTGTCAGAAATACGGGTACACAGTACCATCTGCATGATTATACAAATCCTGTCCAGCAGAGAACAGTCTGCTGGTGCATGCAAGAAACAGCAAATTACATATTTTAGCTCTATTTCCCTGTGGATCAGTGGCCATTATAATGTTGTTACATTAATGTTTGTGTAAATGTATTGGCTAATTATTGGCAAATTATATCACTTTAGTACTCCTATAGCTGGAAAATATAACTAAAACAATGGTATTTCATTATTTTTGCCCTTCTGAATATAAAAATAAATTAAAAATCAAGAAAAAAAATTGATAAAGAATCTAGTCAAATATAACAATAAAATAATAATTAGTGACAAATAAGTTATCCAGAATTACTTATTCTTATTAAAAAACTATAAACATTTTTAATGCAAACCAATCATCAAATCAGTGAATTAACTAACTGAAATGGGCAGAAATCAAATCAAAATGTACTACTCTGATAATTTTATGAAACTAATTCAAACGAGTTTCAAACACTTCCACCCGCCTGCCATCACAGAAACATCTAAAGATAATCAAAGTTTCCACAATCCTCACAAAAGAGGTTAAAAATGGCCATTGAGAGTCAAAATCTAGCCATTGCCTTTTACTCTGATTTACCGGACTGTGTGTTGATAGAGTTTTTTTTGCGAAGGCATTAATCAGCCGCTGAAGTTTAAGCTTAGACGCGAGGGTCCGCGTTCATCACTCTGTGAGTTTATGGACTATGCTTTGTTGTGTGTTGGCTCTTCATTCACTGTGCGGTCGTCATGAGTCAAGTCAAGTCACAACTGCTCTTCCAGAGTCTCTTCACGTCTCAGCTGATCTTCCAGAGTCAAGTCACATCTCAGCTGTTCGTCCAGAGTCACGTCACTTCTCAGCCGATCGTCCAGAGTCTTGTCACGTCTTGTCTGTTGCACCCAGATCTTCAAGGTCAGTTCTTCTGTATCCCAGTCTGGTATCCAGTGTGAGGGATGCACCGCTGGTGTCTGCACGCGCCACCACTGAAACTCTAGAGACGGCGGCGGCCACTGTGATATCTCCAGAGGTGGCGGCTGACGCTGCAGAACCTCCTGAGGTAGTGGAGCTCGCTGCTGTGTTACCTGAGGCGATGGCACCCGCTGCAGCTTCTCCAGAGGTGGTGGCACATGGTGCAGAACCTCCCAAAGCAGCGGTGCTCGCTTCAGCTCCTTGTATGGTGGTGGCGCCCAGCAATGCACTCTCAGCCTGTCGTGTCGCGGTCGAAGAGACCGTTACTGAACTCTCCCTGTGTCCTGATGTTACTGCTGTAGAACCTTCAGAGGTGTCAGTAGTATCCATTTATGAACTCTCTCCCTGTCCTGTCACGGCTATGGAGGCCGTCTGTGAATCCTCGTCCTGTCCTGTCACGGCTATGGAGGCCGTCTGTGAGCCCTCTGCCTGTCCTGTTACGGCTATGGAGGCTGTTTATGAACTCTTGTCTCGTGTTGAACCAGCCATGGAGGCTGATTGTGAACTGTCCGTCCGTCTAGTCACAACAAATGAACCTGTTATTTGCCCCAATAGTTCAGTTACGACCCCAGAAACTTTACCTGAGCTTCCTGTAGGCTCTAGTGGCCTTGTCACTACCCAAAGACCCGCCTTTGAACTCTTAACCCTGCCTGTCATGAGCTCAGAAACCATAAATTAACTCTATATTTGCCTCATTACTAATCACAACTAAATAACTAGATTGTATAACTGACCATAACTAAAGTGGCTAACATTCAAAGCATTTATTTATTTATTTATTTATCTATATGTTTGTTTATTTATTTAAAAACAAATCAAGTGGTTTATTTGCATTCTTATTTTTGAATTAATATGTTGATTTTTTTATTGCAGACAGTTTAGGGATGTTTATAGCCTCTTTTATATAATTTATTTAGATAAATAAATAAACAAATAAATAAATAAAACTGAATAAATAAACTGACAACTAATTCCTTCATTTTATGGAAAAGAGCAGCATGGACATTCTACAAAACATCTTTTGTATAAATAAATAATTTTTGAATTAATAAATCAACTTCTTCATTTTATGGAAAAAAAGCAGCATGAACTTTCTGCTTTTGTATAAATAAATTAATAAAGAAATAAAATGTATTTAAATAAATAAATAACATAATATAAACAATAATTAAACAAATATATCTAATTTATTTTTATTTACATTTTTGTTTTTGAATTAATAAATTCATAACTGCGCAATGGAATCATTGGGAAAAAATAAAAATAAAGCCCTAATGACTGTCTCAGTGCCAGCAAACTCTGAAATGTTATTTTTGAGAGCTTAATTAGATATTACTTCAAGATTTCAAGCCAGTTCTCCTTGCTGAGAAATCTCCACATGACACATCCGATCCACAGGAGCCAGTCCTCATGCATATCAAACACACTGCTTCAAAACCAAACCTCGCATCACAAAATATCTCTGTGCTGCTTCTGCTGTTGGCACAAGTATCAAGACTTCAGCTTCTTGGTCGCGGTACAGGCTTTGTGAGGGAACATGTATTTTTGTCATGCGCAAACAAATGTGTGAAATATATTCAGCATATAGTCTACACTGTGTTTCAGTGCCTAAGCATTGCAAACGATTTCTGACAAAGGCAAATCAGAGGCTTTTAAATGAGCCTATAGTCTAAGCGCTGGAGTCCAGTCAGTGAGCTCATGCTGAACTACTGGCTGAAACCGCAGCGTGAAACCACGTCAAATCGCAGTGACAACTTCACTGACTCTAATGGAATGGGAGTTGATGTGTTGCTCGCTTTCTATGTATAATTTATTCAACATTTGAATAACAGTTTTTAACGCTGCTGGGAGAGCCAATTTGAAGTTTAGGACCTAGAATTACTGATGGAGAAAACAGCAAAACATGTATTCAAGAACACAGGCTCAGTTTGTTTTAGATGTCTAGCCAGATGCCATTATAACAAGTGTTATAATGGAAAATAAATAAGGCTTAATTTATTTTTGTACTTATCATTATTATTATTATTATTATTATTATTGTTTATTATTATTATTTCTTTTTACAACACACAACCAATGTTGCATTAAAATAAAACTTTTGCTCATTTCTAATGCAAAAATGAACGAATTAATATTACATTTAACTTATTATTATTATTATTATTATTATTGTTTTATAAAACCCTTGCTAATTCCTATGGTATATAACTAACTAATACAAAATTATTATTATTTTTTTTTTGTTATTTAAATTTACACCACATCAACCAGTTTTTCATCACAAAATCCCAATTCCTATAGCATAAATAAATAAATAAATAATATTTTAAGTGTAATTTACTTATTTTTTACACAATATTTCATTACAAAACCTTGCTAAATCCTATTGTAGATGAATGAATGAATGAATGAACGAATGAATGAACATATATTTTACACACTTTTTATACATAACAAAATCCTTGCTAATTCCATCGCAAAAATGAATATTTTTTTTACAATTTATTTTATTTTTTACGTATTATTATCTTACAAAACGCAACAACCAAAATTTCATTACAAAAACCTCGCTAATTCCTATTGCATAAACAAACAAACAAACAAACAGATAGATAGATAGATAGATAGATAGATACTGTAGATAGATAGATAGATAGATAGATACATACTGTAGATAGATAGATAGATAGATA